TTAGAATTTTTTTGAAAATTCTTGTAAACAAACATGCTCTATATAGTTGTTCGGGCCAAATTGCTCACTCCTTTTCTTACATTCATTCCTTGCAATTAGGGCTGCAAACTAATCGAGCGGCGCGTGAGTCAAAGCTCGACTCGGGCTCGAGTTTGATCGAATTCGAGTTGAGTTCGAGCTCATATTTTGCCTCGTCGAGCGGCTCGAGATACACATTAAATTACTAAAATATCCCTTATTATATATATTAGTATAGGTGCTTAATGGTAATTTTGCATTTCCACTTAAAAAATTTTGAGCCGAGCTTCAGTATTTTGATTTCGAGTCGAACTCGAGCCGAGCTCGAGCTATTGTAATTTTTTATCGAATCGAGCTCGAGCTCGAACAGCTAAAAAAAATTCAATACTTCTCGATAAGACCAATGCTCGACTCGGCTCGACTCGTTTGCAGCCCTACTCGCAATAATATAGGTGAGCCGAGTTCGAGTTCATTGACAATTCACCCGTCTAATTCTTCAACTAATTCGGTCTAAATTGTGCAGCTAGGGATGACGGGTGAGGTAACTAAAGTAGGTCGAAGACGTTCTTGATAATTAAATACAGGCTTAGAATCGGAGGGCTTTTAATCAACTTGGTAAAGTAAACAAGATCGGTAACAATACACAAGAGTGTGATAAAATGGTGTTTGGATATAACAGAACTTGTAGAGTATTAAGGGAAGAGGCCTCAAGTAAAAGAAGTCATTTTTGACAAGCAATGAGGGTATGACTAAACTTTTTGAAACGTAGTGAGGGGGGAGGGATGGTAAATATAGTACGTAATGTGTGTTTAAACACAAAAATTAAAAGCAGAAGCAACTTATACATAAAAACGTCTTTAGGCAGCATCTCACTACACCTCATAGCACTTTAGTTCATTAATCGATCGATTTGCGCACAAAGTACGGTTTGGAATTACAAGAATTTGACTCTCTCCTAATCTAACCAACATTATATTTGACCCTATTAGTTACTTTTCTGGGCATAACGTGTGGACTTCAAACTATGCAATGATCCATACAAAAGCATTTAATCCCTAAGTACTCAAAGTATTTGTAAATAAAGAACATAGTCAATTTTTCAGTGATGTAAGAACACACATATTGAATCACTGAACAAAAGAAACACAAAAAGCTCACGAACACTCAATGAAAGTTTAGCATGTTGATTCAATAATTGCAGCAACCTTTCAATAAGTCTTTGATCACACATATATAAAAACTCATCAAAGGGAGTAAGCCTTCGTATTTTCATGCATAGTCTCCTTCCCATGTGAGCAAGGGCGGGGCCAGAATTTCAACTTGCTCGGATAGATGTATGTCGAATTATATATAAGTAGCAATATAGATAGAACTGTTATGATAAGTGGAATTTACCACTAATTAGAATCTTATCATGTGGATTATTATTATATGTATTGGAGTGTGTGCCAAGACCCTTAAAATTGGTCTATAAAAGGGCCAAAAGTGATTGTAATTTTGTGTACGAAAATAGAAGCAAAAGCAAAGAAAGTTTGATTTATATCCGGTTTTTATACATTGTGTTCTTTATATTCCTTGCATTTTATAACACGTTATCAGCACGAACGCTCTACCCGGTCAAGAAAGGTAGGATATATATACGTATTACCATTATTCTTGACAAGTTGGGCTCTGCCACAGTCAAGGATATATATACATATTGCTATTATTTTTGACAAGTTAGGCTCTGCCACAGTAAAAAATATATATATATTACTATTATTTTTGACAAGTTAGACTCTGCCACAGTCAAGATATGTATACTAAATATGATATTATATACACATTACCATTATTATTGGCAAATTAGGCTATGACATAGCCAATAATATGTGGTGATATGATATTATTAAATTTGCTTATGAATTATTTTTCAAGTTGTAATAAATGTTATTATTTATACTTAACACCCATAAAAATAGTTTTGTGGCGTGAAAATTATAATTGTTTATTACTTACCATAAAATTTATCAAATAATGTGGAGCATTTTTTTTTACTTGTTTTGTTATATTCGCGAAAATATTCATCAAATAATTCAAAATTTTTTTTAAGGTAATATACATGATTAATTAGAATTTTATGATCATAAATGATTAATTAGCAAATATTATATCATTAAATTTGGTTCCAACGGCTACTTAACAGCTCTATTGCAACGACTATTTACCAATATCTATATATAACACTACAATTCATTTTCATAATACAAACACTCAAAATATATTGTTTTAAGAAAAAAAAATGTTTGATCCATTACTTATAATTACCATTATCTTGTTTATTATATATGTTTTCCTAATTTTCAAAATGATGTATCATACTGTTGGATTTAAATTTTATGTATTAGGCCTTTGTATAATGTGTTTAGTATTTGCTCTTGTGTACGTCTTGAAAAATTAATGATTGTATATGTAATTTTTTCGAATCTCAGCATTGATGTTTTATTTTATAGTTATCATGGAAAATCTGGTCAAACTCGAATTCGAAGCTCTCGATATCTCTGGGAAAAATTATATCTCATGGACATTGGATGCCGAAATTCATTTGGCATCAAGGGGATTGGAAAAAACAATAATATCCCCAAATGATTCATCAATACAGGATAAAGCAAAAGCAATGATATTTCTGAGGCATCATTTGAATGAGGCTTTGAAAAATGAATATTTAACTGTTAAAGATCCTGCGGATCTATGGAAAGCCTTGAAAGAAAGGTATGATCACCAGAAAACGGTGATTCTCCCCCGGGCTCGTTACGAATGGATGCATTTACGCTTCCAAGATTTCAAAACTGTTAACGAGTACAATTCGGCCATGTTCCGCATTTGTTCGGTATTGAAACTATGCGGAGAAAACATAACTGATTATGATATGCTGGAAAAAACGTTGTCCACGTTCCATGCCTCAAATGTACTATTGCAACAACAATACAGAGCAAAAGGCTTTGTAAAATATTCTGAGTTGATTTCTTGTTTGCTGTTGGCTGAACAAAATAACGAGTTGTTGATGAAAAATCATGAATCTAGACCCACGGGGTCTACTGCGGTCCCTGAAATAAATGCTGTAATATCTAAACAGGGAACCAGAACTGAAAACAACCAGACATATGCGCGTGGAAATACCTCGGGGCGTGGCCGGGGTC